TACTTATTTGAGTAGAATTTTTTTAGTTGGAACACCCCATAAGGTAGGGGTTAAGGCAGGACCCCCAACCTGTATATAAACATGCCCAAGATGACCTGGAGAATCAAAGTACTATAAAGTCATACAACAACCACAAACAAAAAGGCCGGAAGCAAGAGAGAAAGGCAAAAGAAAGGGAGAGAAAAAGGAGACAACGACCAAATTGGAAAATCTGAAGACTGGCTAACAGGTGCCAAGATAAATAGTCTGCGCCACAAGTGGGCTAAAACATAAAAACCAAAACGACTATCCAAATTGAAAAGATGGGTAACCAAGTTGATCCATCTGTATAAGCGTGCGGAGTGGAAGAGGGATGCCGGCCTACTGGAAAATGCGCCTCTAGGGAGTGGAGGCACCGATGCAAGCTAGGAAGACAGCGGGTCGATTCCCCTCGTGGAAAATGTGTGATATCCGATAGCGGACCGACTGGAGTGTGGATCTAATGCGCATAAGTGGGTGCTGAATCTGCCATGAGCCCTGATGGCCGGATGTCACGAGGGTAATGACAGCGGCGACATCCAGCCCAATCAAGTGTGAGAGGAGATAGATGCTGCAATCTGAAGATCAATCTGAAGCGCCTGAATCTCTGCGCCATAACTCGAGGTGACCTGAAGAGGAGCGTGGAAAGCGGTAATGAGATCTCTGCTGTGGTCCCTAATCAGGCCCCTTCCTCCGGCGGCTAAGTCAATCGTAAGATCAATCGGTGTTTAGCTTAACGCCTTGATCCAAGGGGAATCGGAAAAAATCTCATATCCAATCATCACACCGTTTCATTTTGGTCAATTGGGCTTTATTACTTCTTCATTGAAATAAATTAGATGGATAATGGGTCTCGTAGTTTAACGGCCCAATGAGACGATATGAAGTTATTGCCCAATATATTTTAGTAAATTAAAGATAGGTTAGATTGATGAGGAAATTGCATCATGTCTGATCAGTTTAGTTTTTTATTACATAAATATAACAATCTTGTAAATATTAGCATATTGACATAATTTAGTGATTTTATTTGCAAAAATACCAGATAGAAGAAATCTGATGCAATCAAGATTATGCGTAATTAAGGGAAAAACTGATCATATTCTAATAACTACTCCCTATATAATTGGTAAGATCTTTTCTCTCACACCCCGTAACCCCCCACTTTCAACCAAGTCAACACAACTTCTCCCTCATCTCTCTCTCATAACTCTGTCAGTTTAACTCTATCTCCATTATCTCTCTCCCACAAGTTTGAATTCATCGTTGAGCAATGACGATAAAAAGCACACAACCATGGCCGCAAGAGTTCGAACATTTGAAGATAAACGATGACAACGACGATTCTATGGGTAGCGTCGTAGCGATTATGACGAGGCCTCCGAAGCCGAAGCCCGGTGGGAAGCCTTCAACCGTGAAAGAAGCGAGAAATCGAAGCAGGTTGCCTAGGATTTCCTCCAACAAGTCGAAAAGAATCAGGTTGCCCAGGATTTCCTCCAACCGCAAAAAATAGGTCTCCGCCGGATTCCGATTTTGGGGACGAATTTCAAACAACAAATGTAAAAGTTTTAATTCGTATATGTTAAGTATATTGTATGTATACAATTCATTTTGTATAAAATAGTTTTGAAGCTGTTATTATATCAATAACATTAGGTTGTATATGTTCAGTATATGTAATGTATGTGTGACATGTTTTTTGTGCTGTGGGATTTTTTTTGGAGCAACTGTGTATGTTCATTAACCAATATTTGTATTGGGTATGCTAATAGTTTATAATATGTATATATTTCTTGATTTGGAGCAACTGTGTATATTCATTAACTGATATGTTTATTTCTTTCTGGTGTATATTCAACACATGTTTAAGCAAATGCAAAGATTTTACTTGGTATATATTAAGTATATTGTCGGAATATTCTGTACGTTCATTAACTGTGTATATGTTGCGTTTATAGATAGTATATTTTTCATAACTATGTATATGTTGTGTTTATAAACAGAAGTAGAGAGTTTTTTTCGTCGAGGAGAGAGAGAGAGAGAGAGAATATTATATACCTTATTTTATGTTCATTGATCTTTTCTATCTATATCATATGATTTTNCTATCTTTATGCATAACCCCATAGCTGGTCATACATATTATTAAGCTCTGGGCTTAATATAAAAATAATATCCTAAAAATTTTGTTTTTTTTTTCTTTAAGAAATAAAATAATACATTTTAAATCCAACATTCTTTTTATAAAATAAATTTACAATTTATAAAATCTATGGTGAAAGGCAATGGATACGTATATTTCAATTTATAATAATAGTGATCCAACACTAGTCTTTAAGAAAATGGTAAGTATTAAACACAAATGACAAACATAAATTACAGCAAAAACAATATCTAGTATTTATACAATACTTTTCAAAGCTATATAATAAACAAATTTCCTAACCAAGGATAAAAAACCCAAAACACATAATGAAGAATAAAGTTTCTTGGGTGCCACTACTAATTTTACCAAAAAATAAAAATAAATTGAAATTTTCATCAACATGGAAGCAAAAATTCAAATCTCAAACACCACATCTCAGGAATAACACCAATGAGTAAGTGACGATTAATTTGAAGCAAATGAAATAGAGAAAAAAAAGTGGAATTGAATCTGAATATGAAAAACAAAGATTCAAAAGACCTTTTATAATCTATAAAATTAATTAACTTCACCGTTGGAATTTTGGAATGAGAGAGATATGCGGATATAGGACGGTGAGAAGTGAAAGAGCAAGATCGAGACTAAAGATGGGCCTTCTTTTTTGCTAGAGTCTTCATTAGATTGGGGCTTTTATTTACATTTTTTATATATATTATAATCCTAAGGGCAAATTGGCAGTATGGAGACGGAAGCGACGACCTCGAGTGTAGTGTGTAGTGTAAGACTCAAAATTGTGTAGTGGATTGAGTTATTGGGCTTTTATTTACAATTATATTTCGGCTCAGTAATATATAAAAGGGAAATTTTTATTTATGCTATGTGATTTTAAATTAATTGCAACTTTACCATAGAAGTTGAAATAATTATGTTTCTACCTAAAAGACATTATTTATCTATATTAATGCCTAAAGTCAGTTACCATATCCTTCCCACCTCCATCCCCCTTTTTATGGGCATGATTAAGAGAGAGAAAATAACTGACTCGTTTAATTCCTTAATTCGCGCAACTTGAATTCATTAATTCACGCAGCTGTCAGGTGGTATATATTGGGTTTATGTTAGTATATTTTCAGTATATGTTGCAATGAAAAACATGTTTTCTATCAAAAAATTATGTCTTCCTATTTTTTCGAAAAGAAAGAAACACACGCCGCCGAGCAGAACTTTTTCGAAAATCAGTCGACCGACGGTCTTCATTCAGAATTTTTACGTGATCTCGAGTGTATATCTTAGGTATATTTTATGTATATGTGGGTTCTAAAATCGATTTTGAGAAACGATTGAAACTCGAGTGTATATTTAAAGTATATTTTATGTATATGCGGTGTCGCGGATTTGAATTACGTGAATCTCGAGTGTGTATTTTATGCATATTTTATGTATATTCTATGTATATTTTATGTATATGTGTGTTGTACAACTTTGGTATGTACCCGCAACGTGTAAATTTTCATATCTGATGGTAACATGTAAATCATGTACAGAATTTTCATACCCGAAACATACATATTGTCATACCGAAACATATACTGAAAATATACTATATATACCCACAGCATATACCCGCAATATGTACAGAATAGAACTATCTATCAACAAATCAAGCACACCAAGTGTTCGACAATTACCCTCTGAGAAGATTTTCGTCAAAACAGATAGAAAAAATTATATATTTAACATATATTGTACATATACCCATCATATACTGTACATATAACACAATACAACACAAACAACAGAGGCGCGATTGATCTTTTTCTTAAGAAAAGAAACGTAAATAGACCACAAAAAAAAAAAAACACTTGACTGGTCGATTAAAATAAAAAGGTCCCACGATCCGGCGGTTCAAATTTGCCTCCTGCCCACTGAGGAGCATGGTCCGGTCCTCGCACCTCAGTCGCTTCACGCCTATCGTGACCCGAAATATTCTAGGGCACATTCCCTTCTCCGCCGCTCCCTCCGTGCTCGCTGATTTTACCGACATCCTCCCATCCTCGCCCGGATTAGCCGCGTAGCTAGACATCGGACTGTATATATTGCCGCAAAAGGCCCATCAGCCGATTCAATTCCTCGCTCATCTACGAATTCTCTCTCCTGAGCCTATCGTTCTCTTCCAGTATCTCCGGCGACCTTAAGTTCTCTGCTTGGCCGATAGAAGAACGAATTACGGAGGCGGTAGTAATGATCCAAAAGAAAGAGAAAGTTAATTCCTTGAAAAGTGTTCATGAAAATAAAACTCCTTTATGGCCACCGCCTACGAAAAAAAACACCGCCCACGAAGTAATGAGATCATAAAACAAAGATTATGAAAATAAAAGGAAATAGAAGGAAGTTAAGGCATAAAATCTCATTAAATCCGTCTCTTTCCCTAATTAAAGGATAAGCTTACTTAAATTTGAATTCTAGTATATGTGTAATTATTTTAGGGTGATTTTGTATCTTTGTAAATAAATATCAATTAGATGTACATGTGCAATATAAAATACATTTGATAGTATAGGGTGTAAATTTCTCTATATAAAATACATATATATAAAGTAGAGTGCACTATTACTGGTGCCCTTCCTTTCACTTGGGCCTTGGGTCGTAGTCCAGGCTGCCCTGGGCGTGGGCCGGCTTTGCATAACCCTCTTTATTTGTTAGATTTTGGGTAGTATTGCAAATTTTTTTCATTACCAGTATATATGCAATTAATTGTAAATTAGTAAATTATGTGGGAGAGATATAAATTTCCCTAAATTGATTTGGGCAACGTTTAAAACTACCAAGCTGTGAAGTAGACGTCAGACCAAGCCAGACATAGCGTAGGATAGCATGAGGATATACCCTAAAATGCGCTGAGGTGCGCATCGTCTGAGCTGTCACTTACGCAATCCCACTCGGCTAAATCACGACCAATAACTCAAATCATTTTCTCTCTCTGTCTCTCCGTTTTCACCACCGATTCTCATCTGTACTCAACGTTTCGGAAAAGCAAATTTGTGCCTCCGGCGGATATGAGCACCGGCGGGAGTTTTTTTTGGGCGCCAAATCGCCGTGGAAAGCTCAAGGTGAAGGGAATAATCGTTGCTTTCGCTTGGATTTCGGTCGGCGATGCTCAATTGAAGGACTTCACCGACCACTGCTCTTCGCTTGGATGGAATTCTCTTGTCTGCCGCGCCGATTATCTTAATTTGTAAGCTCTTCATACTTTTAATGTGTATTTTGTTTTTAGTTTTTTGGTTGTTAGATGAATTTGAGCCAGAATGGATTACTGAGTCAAGCTCCAGTTGAGAATTGTCGATCGTTGAACTCATTTTAGGGTTATGTGTTTAATGATTCTGAGTGTGCTGTGTTTGTGTTTGTGTTTTCATTGTTACAGATGCTTTGAGGAATTCCTTGTTTTAGATGATTTTAAGTGTCGAGGTTGTTTCATTGTTGTGGCTGAAAAGAGTATACTGGATTGAAATTGCCAATAGTAGAGTCACTGCATGTTGTAGGAGAAAACTGGGTAATAATTGGTGATTATTGTAGAGTTAAAATGAGTAGACATGGTTACTTCTGAATGTAAGATACATTGTAGTAGATTTGGCTCGTGCTTTATCTTTTGGTTGTTTGGTGAACTCGATTGTGTTATGACTTTGGGATTCATGGTTTTTATTTAAATGTTTTACAGAGTCTAGCTTTAGTTGAGAAGCTTATAGGAGTCATTTTAGGAATTATATGATTGTTAGTCCGTGCTGTGTTTGTGTTTGTATTTTTGCTTGTATGTATAATGAAAACAGGTATTTTATATGATGTTAAGTATTGTGGTGGTTACATTTGTTGTAGACGAAAGAGTGCATTCTGGGTCAAACTTGCGGACAGAGTTATTGCTTGTTGGACAGGAGGAAAAGTGAAATATGCAGTGATGATTGTAGAATTAGAACACGGGCATAGTTAAACTAATTAGGAAACAATTACTAAAATTATATGAGGATCAGCATCTAAGTTAGATCATGTGAATTGCGATGCAATGGATGTGCCAATATAACTGATACATTTATATCTTTTTTTATACATGACCTGTATTTGTCTCGTGCCTGTTTTTATACATGAGTATGAATATTGGTGGATTTTTTGTTTTTCCCAGATTCATTCCCGAGAGAGCTACATCACTTGCCTTTTCTGTTATTGGTGAGCTTGTCAAGGTTAGCCGTATTACCATGCTTATTGTGTTTGAAAATGTTATCTAACTGTAAAGTAGTGATTTTATTTAATCACCTTTGACTCAATAATATTAACTTTATGGTTCTTTCATTGTGGGCCAGCTGTAAGAAATGTGAGTTATACAGATCCATCATTTTCTGAGTTTTTGGTAACTTTGATGGCTTTTGTAAATTGTAATATTATTTGAAAATATTTTACTGGTAATAATTGTTTTTGTACTATGTTCTGATTAAAGTTAAATAGATTTGGCTGATTATCTTGCTAGTATCTATTGCTCATTATTCTGCGTTCTGTGTTTCCATATGAATAGGAGCTTAGATGTGGATTATGTCCTGTAGTTCTCGTATCCTTTTCTGGTGGTTCTAAAGCGTGCATGTACAAGGCTCTCCAGGTAAATCAATATATTTGAGGTGACCTTAATTGACACGCATTACATATGACATAACTGTTCCATGCATTACACTTCTGAAAATCCATTTCTTTAAGAAATGTGATGTTTCAGTTATATACCTTAGACCAGTCAATTTATGGACTTTGCTGACTATAATGTTGTGCAGATCATTGAAGGATGTTCGGATTTGGAGCTCTGTCTGGTAATTTCTCCTTTTACTTCGATAAACTAATTGTTATGTATGGTTAAATGAACATTGCATTATTGACACTTGTGCCTCATGTAGGAGGACAGTAGGTTACTTGCCAGTTGCATCGCGGGACAGATTTATGATTCTGATCCTATAGACTTTACTTCTGATTTGGGTGCCCGGTTTGCTCTGCACCGCTCTATCCTCAAATTGCCTGGATCATCAAAGCTGGTTTCGTTGTTTGCAAAAGGGGTCACCTCAAGCTTGGATGCTCTATTTATCACCAGATTTGGATCCCAACGCGCAAATTACTGGCAAACCCTTTATTCCTCGGTTGTAAGTTTCAAAAGTGGCCTGCAGTTTTCTAATCAGATTAAACACGTTCTTTGTTCTGAAAGTTATCACATTTAGCTGGGCCTTTTGACCCTTCAATTCATTTCTCTCTGTTTTATATAGGGTTTGGGAGCCCCCTTTCTTATTTTATGTTCAGAAAATGATGAGGTGGCTCCACGTTCAACCCTGACCAAATTTGCTCAGCATTTACAGGATATAGGCGGTTATGTAAAAGTTGTGACGTGCAGTGCAGGTTACGTTTAATTTTTCTCTATTCTTAGAATTTCGAGTTCATTTTAGTTCTGTCTCGTATGATAGACAAATGTGAATATAATGGACTATGAATATCTTCCAAGGTTCCGAGTTCTGAGTATTCACAACCCTATTATTTTGTCATTTGCTCTCAGATTTGAGTGAGAAATAATCTATTTCTCCTGCTGCTAATTGCTATATTTGTTCACATCCTAATCCTAACATGCTTAAGCTATTTGCCTACAAACAGGCCATATCAAGCATCATTCAATACAGTATACAGCTGCTATAACTGAGTTTCTTGAGCAGTCAACTTTATTTTTCTCTGAGAAATTACGGAATATCGGGGAGAAGTCTTGCATTGACGGCATGCATGATGAAATTTCTGATTTGATATGCGATCTCCAGAATGCGGCAGTTGACTCGAATCAGAGCTTCAGAAGAGTGGCAGTTGGGCCAAACGACCACTTTTTCCTGCCAAGCTCATCATATTACCATAATGATGGCAAAGAATTCAGCTCTATACAACAAGAAAGAAAAGAAAGGTCACCTAATCGTTCGAGCCCTCCTTGTATGAGTGCAAATAGTATTCTCGGCCAAGCGCTTTTTGATGCATGTGTTCCAAAAAATGTGGAGGGTTGGGATATTAAATTCTCCGGCTCAGTGAACGGGGAGCCGTTTGCTTCTGTTCACAAGAGGTCACCTTTTAGAGGCATTAAGCTTAAATCAAGATTATAAGAAAAAAAAAAAGGGAAACTCGATATACATATTGTTGGAAATATTTGCGGCTAACCTATTGAAGGAAGTTTGAGGACCATGGTATTTCGGAATATACAATTTGGTGATTTCGGTGGAAATCCAGCCGAGAGCCAAATTATTGGGGATCATGACGCGAAATGCATGTTACTGTAAGCCGAAGTAGATTATGGCATATATGAACTAGCATATGTGATGTGATGTTAATCTTCGTACATTGAGCGCCTCGTGATGTGAGTTCCTAACTTGTGATATAAAATCTCTAGGGACGAGATTTTTACTGAGTAATGTGTATAGTAATAGTTTGAAAGTTACTGTTCCGTGAGACAAGCATGTTTGTATATATGATGAACGAATAAAACTCACTCGCCTGTATAGTTACCTGCAAGAATAAGCTATAGTGAGATGTTGCTCACAGCACTCACTGTTTTACCTTTTGTCACCTTGTCTGAGATTTTGGATGTCACTTGCCTGCAGAAACCATACTTTCTCCCATTGGATAGTTTATATTTATTGCAATTCCTAACTGGCATTGATCTTAATGCAACTATAGGGACCGGCATACATGAAATTGTACTCGAGGCGCCCCTCGTATAATTACTTGCGAGCAAACATTCAAGAGTCGTATAATTACTTGCGAGCAAACATTCAAGAGTTAAGAGGCCAGTGATGAAGGAAGAACAGTAAAATACTAGGGGATTGCTAAATCAATTATTTGTGCAAGCATTCAAGAGTCGTATAATTACTTGCGAGCAAACATTCAAGAGTTAAGAGGCCAGTGATGAAGGAAGAACAGTAAAATACTAGGGGCTTGCTAAATCAATTATTTGTTAGCAACAAAATGAAATGTATATTTGATAAACATTCAAGAGTTAGAGGCCAGTGATGAAGGAAGAACAGTAAAATACTAGGGGCTTGCTAAATCAATTATTTGTTAGCAACAAAATGAAATGTATATTTGATAGGTCAAGAAATGTGTATATTTTATTTATTTAATAGTATATTTTTATACAATTAGTTATGCTTGATCTTAAAGGCCGACTTGCACCCAATCGAACACTTCCAGATGGAAGAGAATAATACAAAGCTTAACTGGGGACTCGGTCAAAAGAACAAATTAACAACCACCACAAACAAATAGAGAGAGAGAGAGGAGTTAAATTTATTCATCACTCTTAGTCATGCAAGAAAAATACAAAGCTTGACTGGGGACTTTGTCAAAATAGCAAATTAACAACCACCACAAACAGATTCGAAATTTATTAATTTGAAGATAGTATATGTGTTGTCTAGACCCACGTCTTCTCCTGGAGCATATTTATGATATTCTCGTCCAACTGAAAGGCATTAGCAAGATAGGCACTGTCAATGGGAGGTGCCGACTTGAAAGCAGCGTGCGCAACCGGATTGTACCCTGGGTTCTGTCTGTTGAACACACTGAACGCAACTGTATTACCATCTTTCAACGCATTTCTCTGATAGTGAAGGAGTCCCATAGGTACGTAAAACACGCCACCCTTTGGAATCGTCATGTTATATAGTTTGTAATACGGATCGGATGTTACAAACCCTACCTCCAACTCTCCTTCAAAGACAATGAAGAGTTCGGTTGCCCTATGGTGGATGTGAAGAGGGAAGGTACCTGAGAGAAACATTTGGGGACTTATTCATTGATGATCAGAGATGGCTGAAAAAAGCCAAATATAGAAGAATTACTAGTTCAGATTTTAGCAAGAACGACAAATTCATTTAGAAATATTTTGCTAACTCTCTACATCTTGCTTATATGTTCATAGGGAGACTGGCGATTCAAGGTAACATTAAATAAAATGCTATAAATATCAAGAAGAATATTGTGGAGGGAAAACCTTACTTTCTAATCAATGAAAAACTCTATTATATATGTGCTATCGCGCAAGCAATGATCTTCGTTTAAAAATATTAATTTGTGAATATCACTCTGACCGGTCATACCATCAGTCTATCTATAATGAAATTTTTAATAATATTGAAATAAATTTATTTTTTTAAATAGATTTCCAATAACATAAATTTTAATTATTTAATAACTTACTAAAATATTTTATATTAGACCATATTTTCGAGTGCATCGCACAGGTTTAACACCAGCATGTTTTACATATATACACGATAACAATACCTCCGGGACCCAGGTCGAGTCGGGTGACGGTCATGCCGAGTGCGTTTCTGCCCGGGATTTGGGTGGTGTTGAGAGTGTTGAAGGCGGCCTTATACGTGTTGTTGATGTCGCCAGCTTTGCTCAACAAGTCGGAGAAGAAGTCCTTGGCTGTCGTTTGTTGGGGGTCCTTGCACGGAAATGGAAGGTTGTCATATGCTTTTTCTCCTTTGCTGAAATCTGCTACGCAAATGTCCTGCGTTGGCGGGGCATCATAGGCAAAGGTGGGGAAGATGAAAATATTGATAATGGGCAAGAGAAAGAAGATACTGATGATGGACATTGTNAGTGATGAGTTGTATGTATGGGTTGAATAATTAGAGTGATTTTAGGTGTGGCAAAAGTTATAAAGCTGTTAACAACCAACCAATCAATTTGATGATTTTGTTGGTTCTGATTGGATTTGATTGGTTTAATTGAGTTATCTGAATAAAGTTAATTGAGAAGATGATTTTGAATTTATAATTAAATAATATTTAAAATATAATAATTAAAAGTTGATGTGGCGTAAAAATATAGGAGAGATGTTATTGAAAGTGTTATGCAAGTAGATGAGTAATGAAATTAAAGTTAATATAATATGTAAGTATGATTGATTGATAATATTTAATTATATTGATAATATTGTGAAAAGTAAGTTGAGTTGAATTTTGAGTTAAAAGATTAAAAAATGAAATAACTCAATGAATCAAAATTGATTAAAACTGATTTTGTATCATATCAAAAACTGATTTAGAAAAGAATTATGTGGATGCGTGTGAAATTAGGTCAAAAGAACGCGGGATTGCCCCTACATGTAGCCACCAAATTCCGGCGTCATCAATATACATATAACCGTTGACAAGCATGCTACGAGGACTATTAATTGTATGCTAAATAAAAAAAGGAAAAAAAAAGTACTTTTCACGGCACAAGTCTCGTTCTCATTATCGTTTTTGAAAAGTGTTGGTCATGATGATGAGGAAATTATGGGAGTAAAGAAAATATTGAAATTTTCATTAATTATATAAATAAAGAAAATTTTGGAAGTAAGATGAAATCATGGATAATGAGGATATATATGCATATATGGTATTACAAGAAATTAATAATGAGGTTGATGATCCTGAATCAAAATCTGTAATTGAATGTCAGAAAGACATGATTGAGGCAAATGGAAAGACATCATTCAAGCCGAGTTAGATTCACTTAATAAACGAAAAGTTTTCTAACCTATTGTTGTTTCACCAAAAGGTATAAAACTTAGTGGATACAAATTGATTTTTATCAGAAAAAAATGAGAAAAATGAGATCACAAGATATATAGCTCGATTTGGAACATAGGGTTTTCCTAAAGACCTGAGATCGATTATAAAGAATTCACCTGTTATGGATGCAATTACTTTTAGGTATTTAATCAATTTAGCTATCCATGAAAATCGTGAAATGCGTCTCATCGATGTTGTTACTTATGTGGATCATTAGACGCTGAAATTACATGAAAATTTTAGATGTAATCAAAATTCTTGAAGCACTAAAATCAAGGCTTAAAGAGTTATGTGCAATAACACTACAAAGGACATTGTATGGCAATCAAGGCATATGTGGTATAATTGTTTGAGTGAACAATTGCTGAAAAAATGGTACGTAAATGATAAAGTATGCCCGTGCGTTTTTATGAAAAGATCACATGATGGAGTTGTGATAATTGTTGTCTATGTTGATGACCTTAATATTATTGAAACACCAAATGCAATTCGAGAAGCAGTCAGTTCACAGAAAGGAAAATTTGAAATGAAAGATCTGAGAAACAATCAATTATTGTCCCGACATACAAATAGAACGAGTACAAAGCGAGATATTCATCCATCAATCTAATTACACTAAAACGGTACTGAAACGATTTAACATGGACAACACTAATCCTCTTAGTACTCCGATGGTCAATCGGACATTAAATGTTAAAAAGGATCCATTTTGACCTTGTGGAGAAAATGAAGAAATATTTGGTCCCGAAATACCATATATGAGTGTGATTGGAGATCTTATATATCTTGCTAATATCTTTCGCTACTAACTTATTAGCAAGATATAAATCATCGCCAACAAGGAGACGCTAGAATGGAATCAAGCATATATTACGTTATCTCCAAGGGATAACTGATTTGGAATTGCTAATTTTGAAAGCACGTCAACAACATTGGAATGACATCTTCGAGATTTATACATATGATAACTCAAGGGGTAGCATGTGGGGTTGTACTCTTTTTTCTTTATCTCGTTTTTTTTATCCAAAAGGTTTTTTTCGAATAAGGTTATTAACGAGGCAGCAGAAACACACACTTTATAGTGGTAATTTCAAAGAGGAGTGTTGTTAATTGTGTTGTACAGTGGACTTACCACTATTTAAAAACAGTAAATTGATGATGATAAAATTTTTGTGAATGAAATTGCAACTGACATCGCTAGAGATTGCTTATAAAAGGCTGTAATGACCGGAGTTGTGGAAGACAAGGGATATTTGGTTGATTTGGGGCAAATGGGCGACGGGGAGAATATGCAACAGACCAAAGCTGAAGTTGGGCCAAAGGCAGAGTTAATTGGGCCGGAGAAGTGAAGGCTGCTAGTTGAAGTTAATCAAATGTGGGCTCTTATGTTAATCGGCCCACCTTATTTCAGTTTATTTTATTTTTCAATGAAATGGGTTATGTTCTTTTATGGCCCAGTCAGTAGTTAGCCTACGTGGCATTAGATACCCGTGTAATAGTTACTTAAGAGCATCTCCAATGTTTTAATGTTGTTGTAAGATAAATTTTGACAAATGTCAAAAAATGAAATAGATTGTGATACATGTAGGATAAATGTTGTGTTCACAACTATTAAATTAAAAAATCATCTTCAATGCATAATGTAGTCTAATTACAATATTATCTACTTACCAAATATTAAAATTTTAATATGAATTAATAGAATTAATTAAATAATTAAATAGTTTGAAAATGGTAATAACAAGTCTCTCTCTTCTCTTCATTGGCTAGCTAGAGTGTGGAGGAGAATGTGGATGAACCACATTCTTCTCTACATTGTAGATATTAATTATGTCCACTTCATCACAATATTTGTGATCACATTGTACATTGGAGGATAAAAAGTTATGATATTAATAAATGTGTTGATATGGAATGTAATTTGGCACTACAACATTGAGCATTGGAGATGCTCTAAGGTGAAAAACATGGGAAAAAATGCAGAGTTTGTTACAACCAAAATTATTCTCTTCCTCTCAACTCTCTTTCTCCACCTCACTCTTTCTCTCTCATCTTCCATCCTCTTCTACAGAAAACCATGGCTAAACTCCTTAAACTTACGTATAAAAATCCAAAGGAAACATACACAATCACTAAATTAGGGTTCTCCTCAAAGGTTTTTATAAAGGCCAACCCAAATGCAGTGGAAATGGATACAGAAAAAGAAGAAATAAATTCAGTATAATCTATATCCAGCTTTTATATATATAATTTATAATTTTTTGGTGCAAGAAAGGGAGGCATTGCCTACATAAAAACTATCTTACGACCTTCCGAGGATAGGACACGCCGATCATATCATGAGTTAACCATACGTCTTCCCCCGGCAATGGATACTCCAGCCTCTGAAGACCTCCCGGACCCTTCGCCGCCAATAAAGCCAAATAGTCCGCAACAAAGTTGGCCTCTCGATAACTATGAATAACCTCCACCGACCAAGGACGACCCAAAAGTTCTCTCCACATTTATAACGTCTTAATTCTTCTTCATATTAGAGATTTAATTATACAAAAAAAAAAACCTCAATTTTCTTTGTTAGTTTCTTAATTATTCTTCTTTTTAATAGAGATTTAATTGTACCAAACCTTAATTGAAGTTTGATCAAGAACTTTTATATTTTTACTAAAGGTTGCTACTTTAAAACAAAAGCCAACCAGTAAAGAAAACGGACAGGACCTAATTTCTCTCACCCCCGTCCCCCCAATCTCGCCGCCGCCTCAAATCTCAATTCTGCCGTCGTGTGCTTCCATAGCTGACCGGCCATCGCCGGTGGTCAGTCTTCGGCCGAGCTTCCGTTTAAAATATCGTGGCTGAGGTGCTCCTCGATATTTTAAATATCGAGGGGAAATCGGTGCTGCTGAGTTCGGCTAGTGGTGTTGGCCAACTCCGGAGCAGTGGTGGTGTGGGAAGCGAATTCGGTATTCGGTCGACTTTTGGGTTCGGTTTGTGGCTCGAGTTTTTTTGTCTCAGCTAGGCGTTTAGGCAGTTTCGGGGGCGGTCTCTTGAGCTATGGATCTTTCCTTAGGTCGTCTTTTGTCCACTGGGTTTAGCATGCTCGAGCTGGTGAGGAAGGGGTTGTCAATTTAGTTTTTTAGTTTCAGTTTCTTTTGTTGCGTTGTTTGGTAGAACTTGTGTTTTTGGTGTGGGTCATTGGCCTCTGTACTGCCCGAGTGTGAGTGTGTATCACCCCTGTTGGGGTCAGTTCTTTCTCATTCTCCTCTTGGGAGCTTTTAAGTGTCTGTGTTGTGTGTTGTACTTTTGTGTGTTGCCGAGTGGTTTCTAGCGTTGCTAGTTTCGGTTCTAGGCAGTCTTCTGACTTGTGCTTCCAATTTATTCAGTCGTTTGGTTGTATTATTCAGCTAGGGGTTGTACTTTTGCACATTTGTGCGTTTATATACTCTTT